TGATAGTATGATGCGATCCACATATATAGAGTAGATCATAAAATATAATAGAGATATCAGATATATATGAGTATATACAGATAGGGAGAGATGGATAGATAGATATATATAAATATATAAAAATAAATATAATATATATTATATATATATATATATATATATTATATATATATATATATATATATATATATATATATATATATATATATATATATATATATATATATATATATATATATATATATATATATATATATATATACCCCCCCCCCCCCCCCCCCACACACACACACACACACACACACACACACACACACCTGTCGTATAGTTCAAGGGTGGACGCAAGCGGAAGTAGAGAACACGAGGGGGTGGACAGGGGAGGAAGGAGGCCAAGGACAATGAGCAGGCAGCGGGCCGAAGGAGCTCGGCCAGGTACCGGGTCTGGCCGTGGTCGTGGTCGTGGTCGTGGTCGTGGTCGTCACCGAGGAGATCTTGAACTTGAGACTGGCTCTGGTCGTGCGAGTGCTAGAGGGCGACCTGGTAGCAGACTTCCTCGGGGTGCTGCTGAGAGTATGCGCAGAATGAGTGCTGGTCGCCCTCGGCGAAGAAGTACTGCCTCAAGCATGCCCGCCAGAACCTCGAGCCGCAGTCGGCATAGCTTCCAGGGCGAGACCGTTGATGTGTTCAACACTAGAGTACGCGAACAGCGAGAGAGGGAGGGAGAGAGAAGGAGGGAGGAGAGGAGAAGAGAGGCGGCCATTGACGTTGGATCTCCGTCTGCCATCTGCACCTCTCACACTCACAACGGGCGATCGTGTTAGGGCAACGAGCGATCGGCGCTCGGCAAGTGGCTGGTCTCGGGTGCTTCGGCGATGGTCAAACGAAGCTACGATCGCAAGGCCAAGAGCTATGTGCTGGTATGTGACGGTGGGACAACAACGACCATGCAGCTGCCCAAGTCTGACAAGCGTCCGCTCGGCCTCCACCATCGCTTCTTGGTCCTGCAGCTGTGTGTGGCCGAGAAGCGGACGCGCGACGGCGAGGCACGGCCAGACGACTTTTCTCTTGAGCTGCACATCACGGACGACTCGGAGAGGAAGCGCCGGTTTCACCTCTCGACCAAGGTGCGCACGCTGGTTACATCGGCCCTCCACGCACAAATCCCGCTCGGCTTTGTCCGCCGGAGCGTGTGGGTCAATCTTGTCCTAGACCTGGCGTCACTGGTGGCTGTCAACTACCCGGGTGCCGCGTTTGAGACACTCGACACCATCGTGGTCAAGCCCAAGCTCCTCATCCGCCGCATTTACACCACTGCGTACCCGCTCGCCGACACGTCTGGCGATGTCGAGGTCTTTCCTGCTTGGACACCACCAGGCGACGACGCAGGGCCGGTCCCGAGGCCGTTTGCCTTTCCCACTGGCGTAGCCAACGTGGTCCAGGTCGTCGACATGGCCAAAATTATGGCAGCAGCACCGCGCGACGAGCCTTCGGTTGATCTGCCTGATGAGTCACCCCCTCGCTCGCGGAGCGTACGCTCGATACGTGCACCGCAGATCCCGCGTCGGTCGTCGATGCCGGCCGCAGAGCTGCAGGCCGAGGGAGGCGCGGGCCTCGACCTAACCCCAAGCTCGGTGTCAGCGCGCTCGGCCTCGGGTCACGCCCACTACCCGGGCTTTGCAGGCGCGCGTCGCCTCCCGCACACCTACACCATGGCGCGGCGCAACTCGCGCGACAGCGGGCTGTCGCCGGCCGCAGCGTCGGCGTCGCCGCGGTCACGGCCGTCGATCTCGTCCTCGCCGCCACTCGGGCTCGACATGCACATCTCGGGCTCACCACTTACCGTCGCCACACCACCGCTCACTGACGAGCGGTCGCCGTCGCCACCCGTCGTCCGGATGAACGACCAACCGCCGTCGCCCACCGCCGTCAAGGCGCTCGCCACCCCCGAGCTTGGTGCATCCCAGTCGTACGACGCCACACCGTTGTCGTCGATGACTGCCGCAGCTGACGACGACTCGGTACTGTTTGACTCGGGCGCGTCGCGCGCCGCATTGGGCTTTCCGCCGCGCACTTCTCTGCCCGACCGCTCCCCGCCCGACAGCCGCCGGACTTTTACCAAGACATTCCCGACAACCTGTACGACTCGGACCATCTCGCTACCAGCGAGCTCGGCGACGACGAGCGCGGTGTCGGCGTCGGCATTTCGATGGACTCGACCGACTATGCGTGGCACTTGTTCCCACAGCGGTACAAAGGCCCGCCGCCAATGCCCACGGTTCCGTCGCCGACTGCCTGCACCGGCTCGATGCCCGGCTCGCCGGCGTCTGGCACCTCGATCGGCGACTCGGTCGGTGATGTCTCGCTCGTATTCTCGTCGGGTGAGATGGAGATGTTTGCCGATTCGGACGGCGACGTCGCCGTCGACAGTGAGGTTGAGGCTCTCCTGCTTGGCTCGCCACCGACTGTTGCGCACCGAAACGGCAGCGATGTCGAGAGCGACGATGCTGCTGCCGATTTTGAGCTCACCATGCCAGACCCGGAGCCGCATGTCGGACCGGCGATGCCGGCCACGGTGGCGGCGTGGGGCGAGAGCGCGTCGGCGCCGGCCGCAACCCCGCCGCCGGCGCGTAGACCGCCCACCGCTGCCGGCCGCAACTCGCGGCTCATTCGCGAGAAGATGCCCTCTCACCGGATTGGGACGCCGCAGCGGACCCGGCCATCGAGCGCCGCCCCGCGGCGATCATACTCGCCGCCGCTAGTCACCGCCACCGACATTGCCTCCGAGGCAATGCCGAGTCTGGCCGAGCTCAGCAGTCTTGAATCGGGCGGGCCCCTCTTTGACGAGCCTTTGCCCACGCCTGAAGCCGCCCTTCCGCTCGTCCGCAAGTCACTCACCATGGAGCTCACGCCCGAAGCCCGCCGCCGGCTGCGAGAATCGGCGTCACGGGTCTCACGCCCCGTCACTCCCGACGACGTACCTAATCCTGCAGTCCTCCCTGGCGAGAGCAAGGCGTCAACACCATCGCGGGTCCGCGAAGAAGAGTCGGGCAAGGAGCTTGAGCTCATCTATGACCCGATTTTGCACTGCTTCTTTGACCCGCGCTCCTTTGTCTGCTACGAGATGGTATGAGCGCGCGCCCGACCCGTGACTCGAATCCGCCAACCCACCACCATCACCACCGCCACCACCACCATCATCACCGCTACCATCATTGTTAAACCCCATCCATCCCGCTCTCTGTCGTGCACTCTGATGTGATGATCAGCAAACCTCCACACCAGATACGCTTTCGCAACAGCAGCAGAGCACGCAGCCGGTCGAGTGACTAACCAGCCGTCAGCAACCCCACCGCCACACACACACACACACACACACACACACACACCACTCACCACTCACCACTACCACTACCCCCTGTACCACACTATGTCGTCGACGTCAACCAACGGAATCGGCTATTGCTTCTCAGACCGGGCGCAGGGCATTGCCAACTACCCGCACTGTCGGAGGGCCAACGGCCTCATTTTCGTGTCGGGCATCTCGTCGCGGCGGCTGGACAACACGTACGTGGGCGTGACCGAGCGGGCTGATGGTGGCTTTGATCTGGACATTCGCGAGCAGACTCGTGCTGTCCTCGATAACATTGCCGTCATTCTCGCCCGCGTCGGTGCCTCGCTCGACAACGTCATCGATGTCCAGGTCTTCCTCGTCGATATGAAGGACTACCCGGGCATGAACGAGGTTTACAACGAGTACTTTGATTCCGAGTCGGGGCCAAGCCGTACCACCGTCGCCGTCCACCAGCTGCCCAACCCGGCCAAGCTTCTGGTCGAGATCAAGGTCATCGCCCTCGACCCCTCGCCCGAGCCCGCCGTCTACGCCCCCGCTGCTCTCACCGCGCCTGCCGCTGCATCCTGCCCGGTTGCCTCATGCGCGTCGGTTGTTGCCTGTGCAGGCCTCACCAGCCTCGTCGTCGTTGGCGCTGCCGCGCTCGCTGGCATGTTCTGGCACCGCCGCTGAGCTGCAGCCGCTCCGACTCGAGCGGCGGCAACAAGATTGTCACATGGCTGCGAGCCTACAACGGCTCGAGCGAGGTGATCGGCTTGAGATCGTACTTGGCAATGACGTCGGCTACCGTCACGCCCTTGTGTGCATCCATCCAGGTCTCCCACTCGAGACCCTTGCGGACAAGATTGGGGTTGGCCACGCGCAGATCGCTCGCCAGCTCGCGCTTGGACGTAGTATAAAAGACGTGGTAGAGCTCATGGACCACCTCCCAAGACGCCGGGCGGAAGACCAGATCCTTGACCACGTAGCACGGCGGAACAGTCAGTGTCGATGAAGCTTCCGAGACCGCCAGCGCCATCGGTGGGTGGTGCCGGAGCCACTCGAGATGGGCCTCGAGGACCGAGTGCTTGCAGCTCCGCAGCGCGTACTCGGCGAGGAGATCGTCGGCCACATCTACGGTATACATGTAGTTCTGAAGGCTCTCGCGGACCCACTGAACGAGCAACATACCGGCCTGCATGGCCCGGAACCCGCGCCGGCTCCGCGCTTTGTTGAACGGTGGCGGTTCGCCGCGTTCGACGCGCTCGTCGACCCACCCGCGCCCGTCGAGGACCCAATGGGCGGTGTAGAGCATCTGTGCCGCCTCGAGCGCCATCTTGACCACATGCTTCGAGCCGTGGTATTGGGCAGGCACACCAAAGAACAGGTTCATGGTCGCCGCGCTGTGGTCCGAGTTGGGTGGGCGGGACTGAGACATTTACACGCCAATAAGACCCGGCGTGGCAGGCACCTCTCCACCTTCTGTGGCTCTCTACTTCTGCTGCGACAAACACAGATGACTTGGGCAAGCAAGAGATACGTTTGCGGCAATGTGGCGGCTTTTAGAACGCTTGTGCTGAGCTCAGGCGGGCCGGACCAGCACGCATATGTTGCAGTTGCCGCGACAAGGACAACAGATTAGGCCGACTCGGAGTAGTCAAAGGTGTACGAGTCAGAGCCCGAGGCCGAGGCCGAGGCCGAAGCCGAGCCCGAGCTCGAGCCTGAGGCCGAGCCCGAGCCCGAAGCCGAGCCCGAAGCCGGGCCCGAGTACGGGGCGGCGGCCTCAGCCTCAGCCTTGTTCTCGAGAACCTTGATCTCCTTGTCGGCGCGGTCGTCGTTGTTCTTGGAGCCGTACTCGGCAATCTGCTCAAACTCGGGGCGAGTGTCGAGGAAGACGAGGACGTAGACGAGGGCACCGATGATGCCGCCGATGAACGGGCCAAGAAGGATGGCCCACCACGAGCGCGTGAAGCTCTCCGAGACGATCCACGGCGCCAGCGAGCGGGCCGGGTTCATCGAAGCACCAGTGACAAAGGTGAGCGCAAAGTGACCGGCGCCGAGCGCAGTGCCGATGGCGAGCGGCGCGTTGGCGCGGGTCTTGAACTCGAGCTTGTACTGCTGATCGACGGCAGTGCCCATGATGACAAAGACGAAGAAGGCGGTCACAATGAGCTCGGCAAAGAACGCCTGTGCGTCAGTGATGCCGACACCCGCCGTGTTGCGGGCAAGGCCGGCCTTATGGCCGGACTCGCCGAGGAGGCCGTAGGTGGCAGCCGAGCCCACAAGGCAGCCAGCAACCTGGACAACAATGTACAGCGCACCCTTGATCGGGTCGATCTCACGGGTCACAATCATGCCGGCAGTAACTGCCGGGTTGACATGGCAGCCGGAAACGTGGCCAATGGCAGCGATGAGCGAGATGAGAGTAAAGGCAAAGACAAGGCCGTTGAGGATGGCCAGGCCCAGAGTCGAGGTCGAAATCGCGGTGCTACACCACACACACCATCATCATCAACATTGCCATCATCATCATGAGTCCATTGCTCCCCACGTACGCCTGCCATACCTGCCAGAGCTCATCAAACGACATGAGCAAAAAAAAAAAAGTATCCACTCAGAAGGGGGGCCTTTTTCACCCCCATCCCCCACAGTCAAGCCAGTGGACTGGACGAGATGCAACGCCAGTTCCACGAGGAACTGAGAGGAGAAGAGGGGGGTGGGGAAGGAATGGAGGGTGGGGAAGAGGGGGGGGGGGGGAGGGGTCGGAGGGGAGACGCGAGAAAGTGGGAAGAGGGGATGAAAGGCGTCCTGCTTCGCACAGAAGCCAGCGGGCGACGGGCGGAGGGGGATAGTGGGCGAGCGGGGCGGGCCGGCTACTGCTGGAACGTACTCCTGGAAGACGGAAGTGAGGGTGAGCGAGGGCAGGAAGAAAAAAAAAAAGTAATCCACTCAGAAGGGGGGCCTTTTTCACCCGCAACCCGCTGTGCCCATCCCCCACAGTCAAGCCAGTGGACTGGAAGAGATGCAACGCCAGTTCCACGAGGAACTGAGAGGAGAAGAGGGGGGTGGGGAAGGAATGGAGGGTGGGGAAGAGGGGGGGGGGGTCGGGGTCGGAGGGGAGACGCGAGAAAGTGGGAAGAGGGGATGAAAGGCGTCCTGCTTCGCACAGAAGCCAGCGGGCGACGGGCGGAGGGGGATAGTGGGCGAGCGGGGCGGGCCGGCTACTGCTGGAACGTACTCCTGGAAGACGGAAGTGAGGGTGAGCGAGGGCAGGAAGATGATGTAGAACGAGCCAATGAACTCAGCGAGGAGGGCACGGTTCCACTCGGCCTGGAAAGGCTCCTGGGCGTTGCGGAGGAGGGGTCCGGGGGCAAACATGGCAGCGAGAAAAGCGGGTGGCCGAGGCGAGGAAAAGGGCGTGGGTGAGCCGCGACGACTCGCCAATCGGCAGACGCGCGTTTGTTTCCAGAGGCGTCGTCGGCCTGGCTGTTGCACAGAGATACACCATCCAACAGTAGCAACTACAGATCGCAAAGTTAAGCCCGCTCATAGGCCGAGTGGGTGTGATGCCGGAAGAGGAGCTCCTCATACGTCGGGTATGGGTAAAGCGAGGCTGGGAGGACGAGCTCGGCGGTGTCGGCCGCGGCGCGAGTGGTGGCCATGGTCGAGGCCACACCGGCAGCAACCTTGGTGGCGGCTGCAGGCGCCTCGCCCGAAAGGGCACCACGGAGGGAGTCGAGATCCGCGGCGAGCTTGGCGGTGGCGGCGGTGAGGTCGCCGTAAATGCCGGCCTTGTCGGCTGAGAACGAGGTGGTCGAAGCGGCGCCGCCGGTGGTGGCCTCATCGGTGGCGGCGGCGGGGAGGTAGCCCTGCTGCAGCATCTTGAGCATGGCGGTGGCCTCGAGCTCGATTGTGGCCGAATAAGCCTCCATGGCAATTTCAGCTCGGGCGAAGACAGCCTCGCGCTCGAGAATGCCGGTCGACGAGAGCAAGTCGACGTTCTTGTCGGCGGCGATGGCGCCGAGCGCCGAGGCCGAGTCGCGGTTGTTGGGAAGGCCGCGACGCTCGGCCTCCTCGGCCCACTCGTCCGAGTAGGCGTCACCATTGAAGACCACATGCATCGAGTCCGCAAGGACGGCGCTGACCGCGTCGCGGATCGAGTCGCCGGCGTCGGTCCGCTTCGAAATGGCCTCGAGGCCGTCGATGACGGCGGCGTGCAAGAAGGTGAGCGAGGTCGAGATGTCCTGGTTGGAGCCGACGGCCCGGAACTCGAACCGGTTGCCGATAAACGGCATCGGTGCGGTCCGGTTACGGTCCTCGACAGAGGCCCGGAGCGGCGGGACGGCCCGTGTGCCGAGCCCGAGCACCCGGCGAGCGTCCTCCGAGTAGCCCTCGAGCGCCCCGCCGGCAAGAACCGCATCCATGTGCGCCGTCAGGTTCTCGCCAAGGTACATTGACATAATCGCCGGCGGCGCCTCCTGCGCACCAAGCCGGTGGTCGTTACCGGCAGTCGCAACCGAGGCGCGGAGCAGGTCGCCGTGATGCGCAAAGGCGTGGACAACGGCGGCAGTAAAGGTGGTAAATGCCGCCTGCTCAAAGCTCGCCGAGCCCGGCGCACACAGATTGACGCCCGTCGACGTTGTGAGCGACCAGTTGTTGTGCTTGCCAGATCCGTTGAGATTAGCAAACGGCTTCTCGTGGAGGAGGACAAAGAGCTCGTGCTCGGCAGCCACATCCTTAAGCACCTGCATCATGAGCTTGTTCTCGTCGGCAGCGACATTGGTCACGCCAAAGATCGGTGCCGTCTCGTGCTGCGCCGGCGCGACTTCGTTGTGGAGTGTCGCGCACGAAATGCCGAGTGACCACAGCTCGTCCTGCACATCGCGGAGCATGGCCTTGACCCGCGGCGGGACGGCGCCAAAGTAGTTGGCGTCAGTCTGCTGCCCGCGCGACGGCGCGGCGCCCACCAGCGTCCGCCCCGACGTCACGACATCCGGCCGCTGCAGGACCAGCTCGCGGTCGAGAACAAAGAACTCTTGCTCCCATCCCACCTCGGGCACAACCTTGGTCGAATCCTTGTCGCCCAGCGCCCGAAGAACCTTGAGCGACGCCTCGGAAATGGCCTCCATCGACCGCAGCAGCGGCGTCTTCTCGTCGATCGGCGTTCCCTCGTGGGTCACAAACACCGACGGGAGACAGAGCGTGCCGGACCGAACCCACGGCGCAGACGTCACATCCCATGCCGTGTACGCGCCGGCACGGTGCGTCCCGCGCAGTCCGCCATTGGGGAACGACGAGCCGTCCGTCTCACCAGAGAGCAGCATCGAGCCGGTAAACGCCGACGTCACGCGTCCAGACTTGAACGCCAGAAAAGAGTCGTGCTTCTCGGCTGGCCCCTCGCGGAGCGGTGAAAACATGTGCGAGTACGAGACTGCGCCGCGCGAGACGGCCCAGTCATGCAACGTCGCCGCGATGTCATCAGCCGCCGCCGCCGACAACGGAGTTCCGTTCGTCTCGCACTCTGCCAGCGCAGCCTGGGACTCGGACGAGAGAAGCGAGAACGAGAACCGGTCAGCCCCATATGATGCGTCCACCACAGACGCCGACGACGAAGCCAGGGTGCTCGAGAGCCACTATCCGCCCAGCACCACACACACACATCAACCGTGCCGAGAAACTCGACCGTGTGAGTCGAATCGCCAGCGGAACAAAATGCCAACCAAACCAGGCGCTACGGCAAACGCACCCCCCCCCCTGCCAACGGCAAGTGGCTACAGGCAACGTAGACGAGTTCCTCAACTCTCATCAGAAGATCAGCGTACGCGAGAACCAGTAGAAATAGCAGAGAGTGCAGCTCGGCGTGTAGAGCCAAGGTACGTAGCCGACAGCATGCTCGCTTGTGCGGTGCGGAATTGAGCGGTCGCGGCAGTGAAAGAGCGGTGCTTGTTCGCTGTTTGTGGCTGAGGGAGGGAAACGAGTGTCGTGAGTTTGTTCTACCGTGCGACGGCCTGTGTTTCTATTCGAAGGTTCGTGATGTGCACGAACTGACATGCGCCAGACCGTAAAGCACAGCGCGGGCAAAGGCCTCGGCCGCCGCCGGTGCCGTTGCACCGCGGGCAGGAAACATGTGGTCAGCACCTGGAACGCGGACAACACGGGTGTGCTTGCGGTCGACTAGGGGCGATAAGTCCGGATCGTAGTCATCGGACGCAACGATGACGATCGGCGTCGAGGCCGGTATCGGGCTGGCCTGAGCGGCTTCGAGCGAAGTGTGAAACGCCGCCAGCTCAGCGCGGGCGGCGGCAGCAAATTGCGACGTGGCCGAGAGGCAGCACGGCTTGCCGCTCACCGGGCCGACGCATCCGGCCTGCTCCGGCATGGCGCCAGCGAGCACCAGGTATGGCGAGACGCCGAGCCGGGCCAGGAGCCCCACAATGGCAAACGACCACTGGCCTCGCCCGACATCAGCCATGAGCGCATCGTCGGCTGCTGCGCTTGCAGCATCGACGGGATCGACCAGGACTAGCCCGTCGCACCACCCGCTGACAGCCGGCGACGAGACCACCATTGCGCCATAAGACCAGCCGACGCACACCCGCGACGAGAACAGCTCCGGGCCACGCGGAAAGGCTTCCATCAGCGCATCAGCCAGTGCTATCGCAGCATCTTGCGCCGTTCCGGCGGCACCGGCAGTCCCAGCTGCGTAGCCCGGCCGAGTAAAGGTGCAGATGGTGGCATGCGGCGGGAGCCGCGCCGCCGTCGAGACCGCCTTTGGCTCGTGGAGCCATCCCAGTGCGTCTCCAGTGAAAGGAAGTCCCGCATCGACAACCACTAACGTCCCTCCACCACTGCCATGTCCTGTACACACCAGCGGTGGTGGTGGTGTGCTGTACGCTCCATGAAGAACCTGTCCCCAGCCAAGCAGCGCCGCGGCCGCGACAAGAGCCACAGCGCCTGCAGCCGACAGCGGATCCATGGCAAAGAAGAGAAAGAACTGCGATTGAGCGAGTGAGTGAGTGAGTGAGTGAGAACGTGTGTGTGCGTGTGTGTGTGTGTGTGTGTGTGAGGGAGTGAAGTGGAGGTTCGCACTGGCATCGATCGGGGTCGAGAGGGGGAAGGACCGGTGAACGAGGTGGGCTGCCGGGGCCACGGGGGACGGAAGCGAGCGTGTGCCGGACTCGGTCTCGGTCGCAGTAGGGCGACACTAGCCGAGCTGGCTACACCCGTCGCTGTCGACCACGCATCCGAGAGTTCGTGTAGAGGTTGGCACAAGAGGCAGCGATGGCAGTGAGTATGGTCTGGGCCGAGCTTTCACATACTGGCGTGCCTTGTGCCTCGCTCCGCCTTCCACACGCTCTCGAGGCGAGCAGAGCTCTGGAGGCCGTCCTGGTCGCCCTCCGCGCAGCAGACACAGTGCCGGTGGTTGACTCGGATGCTGCCGAGCTGCGGGTCTACGGCCTCAACGAGATGGCGCTGGAAAACGCTGCTGCCCAACTCGCTCCCATGGGCTTCGCCCTCGGCTCGCCCAGAGCTGTCCCGCTCGACTCGCCCGAGTTTGTGGCTGGCTTGGCGGCCGCGCTTCCGATGCGCGTCGCTGAGATCCTTGGCGACGGCCATGCGCCGCTAGGTGGCTACGTTGTCGGCGACATGCTTGGCGCGGCGAGGCCCGGTGAGGCGTTCAAAGGTGTGCCTGCTCTGGCAGTGTCATCGGTTGTCGATGTCGCGACCGGCGCGGTTCTGCTGGTCCTTACCCCAGTCCGCCTCGGCGTCTCAAAGTGGGTGAATGATGCGGCTTCACGCGACGTCATTGTTGCCCCACTTGCGCTCCGCGCTGTAGTGCAGAAGAGATGGAGTGATGGCCGGGTCGAGGTTGTCTTTGATGACCACGTGACAAGCGTCGTTGACGAGTCGGTGCTGTTTGCGGTCGATGCCCAGGCAGTCCTTGCCCACGGCAAGCCACCGATTCTGGGCACCAATCTTGGCCCGATCCGCGACACCTTTTCACCTGTACTTGACCCGCGACTGGCAAGTCACGGTCGAGGCATCCTCCCGCTGCCGTACACCACCATGCAGTCGTTCACGTCGTCTCGCCTCAAGTCGAGCCGGCCTGGCTCGGCCCGCTCGCGCCGCACACCCGGAACTTCCAGTCGCCCGACCACCCCGGGCACCGCCACCATGACCTCGCCTGCTCCACTGGGGAGCGATGCGTGGAATGCTAGCGAGGCGATCAGTAGCAATGGGCAAGAGGATGGCAAGAGAAAGGACAAGGACAAGGACAAGGCCAAGAGCAAGGACAAGGCCAAGAGCAAGGACAAGGCCAAGAGCAAGGACAAGGCCAAAGCAAAGGCGAAAGCAAAGGCGAAAGCAAAGGCGAAAGCAAAGGCGAAAGCCAAGCGCGCGCTTTCTCGAGGCGATCGCCCGGCAAAGCGGGCAAAGCTTCTGGACAATTCTGCGACAAACCAGGCTGGCAAGCGAGCAGGCTCAGGGTCGTACTCATCGTCATCGTCGTCATCGTCGTCCTCGTCATACGACTCGTACTCGGAGTACTCTGAATACTCCAGCAGCTACGACTCATACTCGAGCTACGAGCTACGAGTCGTACAAAGATGGTGGAGACGCACCGGCAGTCGGCGCCGGACTGTCAGACCTGGGTGGGGCTGGAGACGATGTGGCAAGCGTAGGCATGACCGACCTCACAGGGCCCGTCTTCAACCTCGGGCACCAGTTGGCACGCGAGCCGTGGCTCTCAGCTGCTCTTCTGTATGAGCTGAGCCGGACTCGCGACACGGTGGTGAAGCAGACGGCGGCATCGCTGTGGGTGGCTGCCGCCAAGCTGACATCGAGCACGCCATCAGGTAGAGGCGGCGAGGCGAGCCACGCCAAAGCTGCATTGCTGCAACACCACCCTGTTCCGTCGTCGGTTGTCGACGTCAGCGTTTACGCGCCGATCCTGGGCGAGGTGATGGCCAGGATGGAGCCGCAGGCTCGGGCACGGTTGTTGCCTGCTCTCGGCTCTGCGGTCGAGGCCCAAGTCCGGATGCTGTTTGCACCTTACCCGCTCGCCGGAACGCTGGGCCGCTCAACGACAGCCGTCGGATGGCAGACTGCCGCCAAGCAGATCGCGCAGGCGGCGCCGTCAAGCGGCGCCACCAGCGCAATGCACAACCCGGACCCCACATGTGGGCCAGTCACCGTTGGCTACGCAGAGAGCTGGATCGAGACCGATCCCAACTTGCTTGAGCTCTGGTCGTCGGCAATGCTGGAGCCGCTCGCTGGTGCTGTAGGCGCACGGTATGTGGTGCTAGCGCCGTCCGCTGAATCGCTTTGGCGGCGGGCACTGGCACTCGGTCGGAATGCCGCCTGCGAGTACGAGACCGCGCGGCTGGGCACTCTAGCTCCGATTCAGCTCGACGCGCCGGGGCTCTCCAGTGCGGGAGGCGTTGCAACACTTGAGACTGGGAGCGTCGATGACTACCTCAAATCGCTGAGTACTGCACTTGGTGCAGTTCGGGGTGCCGAGACAGGCGGTGAGCCTGCTGTTGTCCTTGTGGTCAACGCCTTCCCCGAGGCGATGCTGCCAGCGGCGAAGCTCTGGGCCTGCATCGGTGCCGCGGTAGGGGACCAGGCCGTGGTGCGAGTTGTGCCGCTGGCGGCAGTGTGCGAACCGAGCAGCGGCAAGTATGCCCTCGCTCTGGCGCACGATGTGTACGCCAGCGTGGGTGCGAGCTCGCCACGTGCGTGTGGCGGCGGCCTGGTGACAGACCACTGGCGCCCGGCAATCGCCGCTCCTACGCTCCGCGACCGTGTTGTCGTCGTTGCTGTTGCGGCCACCATCCGGTCTGGCCAAGTCGCTGTCGTCGCTACCGACGGTGAGGGCACTCTCGCCGTTCACGGTGTTGTTGCCGCCGCAAACTGCGGCGAGCTGGCGCCGGCTCTTGTGGCCAAGGTCGCTGAGGCCAAGTGGCAGCCTGGCTCGGCCTTTACCGCCGTCGCTGTTCAGGCTGCGCAGCGCGGCGGCTCAACAGGCCTCCCAAGCCTCGCCTCACTCGACTTTGGACGTGATTGCCAGCATTGCACCGGCGCCGTCTTTGTAGGCGGTCACGTCGTGGCTGTCAAGCCTGAATCCGACGCAGACCTTGTCTCTCGGCTCCTCGCACCGCGGCCGTCGCCGAGCACGCCAACCGTGACCACGCCGCAGCCGCCCCTCGTCGCCCTCCTCGATCACCTCGCGGTTCTCGGCTCTGTGGCGTGATAAAGTCTCGACTTGTGACAGTATGCAGCCTCTGATCGAGACAGGCGAGTCGATGTGAACAGGAGAGGAAACATGAACCAAAGTGGGAACAACGGCACGGGCGAACACTGCTCGCGAGAGGAGCTCCTTTTCGCCTTGGCAAGCCCTCTGCGTGGACAAGAACCTTGGACGTGCGGCAGCCGGGCAACATGGCGGGCCACTTGGGCGGTGCGGATGGGTCTGGCTGGTCTGAGGAGAGTGGAGAAGGTGCGGGCGGAGCATGGCAGCGGGCAGGCATGCGTGTCTCCTTCCGAGACGATGTCGGCCTTGCAGCACACGACCGACGATGGGACGGGGTGGCTGGCGGAGATGAGGTCAATGACGAGCCCTATGTCCATGGCGAAGACAGCGAGCGGGGAAGAGACCGTCGGGAGCGCCGCGAGAGCGGTGAAGATGGCGGCGAGCGTGATGACGACGACGAGTACTCCGAGTCGTCGTCGCATGTGGCTACGGATGGCGCTGCGCTGAGCGGCGAGGATGTGGCCTCGCTCCGCAACGCCTTCCCGGCACGGGCCGGTTGTGTCTTTGGTGTGCCGGAGCTCGCACTCATTGTTGTGGCTCAGCTTGCGGATACTGATCTCTGCACGCTGGCGCAGGTCTGCAAGCTCTTCAACGTTCTGCTCGACGATCCGTTGCTGTGGCAGCGGCGGTTTCGCGCCCGCTGGCGGCGGGCACGCCCGCATCGAGTGTGGCGCTGGGCCGAACGGACTGGCTGCTCTCTACGGCAACTGTACGCGGCCGAGGCCGTCCGCGAGCGCGCGCTGCGCGAAGCGCTGACCTTTCAGTGGTTCGATCCTGTGGCGAAGCTCTGCTACGAGGCGGTGCAGGTTGGCGAGTGCACCTACGATGTGCGGTACACCACGCTGCGCGAGGCGCAGCTTGGATTGGTGCCAGAAGAGATGCGTGGTGGGGGCAGCGCGGGTGCGCCAAGGGTTTACTGGCGCCGTCGGCAACGGCCGCACTCGCGGACTTCGTCGGCGTCGGGCGACGACTCGGGTGACTCGTCCGTCTCGACGCTCTCGTCGCGTGACTCGACGCTCTCGGTCATGTCGGCCGTCTCGACCGTCTCGGTCATGTCGGGTCTCTCGGTCCTCTCGGTGGTGACCAACCACTCGGACTCAACCATTGTGCCGTACTCGCGTGGCCAGCTGGAGATCGTGACGGCGTCTTCATTTTCACTCAACGGCATGGAGTTTGTGCTCGACGATTCGGATCCAGACGAGGCCGTCTTCATCAACAAGCGCAACCGCAAGCATCGCCTCGTCCGCCTCTCTGGCAATGAGCTGCTGCGGTTCTCGTCCGACGACGACGATGCCGACGATGGTGCGTCGGCCTCGCACGGTTCGGCCATTCTGCCCATCGTTGTCGAGGAGGAGGTTGCCTTTGTCGACGACGACGAGTACGACGACCTGCCCTCACCTCCATGCTCGCCTCCCATGGCAGAGAGCTACGTCTCGCTGTGAGCTTCTAAGCTTGCGAGGTGCGGTGCTGCAACAAACGACGCCTCTTGTTTGCGGCAAGCCTCAGCGAGCCCGTTCCCGTGCCCGAGCTCGCGCGGCTAGCTGCGATCGACGGCCACGGCCCTTGCGGCCACGGCCCTGGCGCTTCTTGCTCTTCTTGCCAACCCGCAACGCAGCGACCCGATCAGTGAGTGTGGCGACGTGTGCACGGAGACCAAGCAGCGCCAGCGCCTGGTCAACACTGGGCGCGAGTCGCCGCGTGGCCGCTGCGTCGTCCATGACGCTCCCGGCGCCGTGCTCAGCAGTAGGCGCAGGGGCGGCCCTGGAGGCTCGTCGTGGCGGTGATCGGCGCGGCGAGAGGACGTACCGCTCTGGGCTAGGCCCAGCCAGCGGGTGATGCGCGCGCAAATGGGCGAGCTCAGCCGCCAAGCGGTCCCGCTCAGCCGCTGCTCCGGGCTCGTCCGCATCCACTGCGGAAAGCTCCACCTGCAACCTGTGCAGTCTGTCAAGATACGCGTCCATGGCGGCGACAGGCAGCTCGGGTACTTCCGATGGGAGTCTGGCTGCGACAATTGATGGCGCAGCCGTATACAATGCTGGTCGTCTCCCAGGCGACCGCCCAGAGGGTGAGCCTTCCAGCCTCTGGTTGTGTGTTCTGTGCCTCTGACCTGTCCTTCTCCGTCCGCCCCTCCGCCGCCGCGCCAGTGACGACGACTTTGACGGCGACGACTTGGAAGGCGATACCCGGTGCACAGCAGCCCCAGAAGACGGTACAACACCCGCAACCACCGTCCGGGTATAGGCACGTGCCGAAAGCATGAGGTGGAGGAGTGTGAGGGCGAGGCCGGGAGGAGGCAGCGTGAGCAAGAGGAGGGGGCTTGGAGGGCGGGAAAGCCCGGTTTGGCGCCAGCGATTTGATAAAGGTGGAGGTGAGCCAAGAGAGGAAGACGAAGGAGTCAGTCGCCCCCCCCCCCCCCCCTTACCCTGCCTCGTTGCCATATGACCCGATACGGACACGGACACAGCCTCGGAGGCAAAGAGGCACATCTCCCTTCTCTACCCCCCCCCCCCCCCCCCCCCCCCTCCCCTTCTTGCCATGCAAGTAGAGGACGGGGCCAGCCAATCTGTGGCGCTGGGCATGGTGGCGAGCGGGCTGGCCGGAGGCGCGGCTCTGGCCTCTGGTCTACAGTATCTGGCACCGTGGCCACAGGTTGCTGCCTTGCGCAAGGGGACGGTGGCGGTTCCGCCTGGAGGCGCGCCGCGGGTTGTGGCTGCGTTTACCTCGATGGCATCAAACGCCCTACTATGGGGTGTGTACGGCGCGCTCGTCCGCGATCCGGCCGTGGGCCTCTCGGCCGTCTTTGGTGTCGTTTGCACTGTCTACTACTGCGCCGTGTACTACGCAGCGGCGGCGGCTCGGGCGCGAAAGGCTTTTCATGTCACAGTTACGGGCTCAGCGCTGGTGGTCTCGGGCATTCTGGGGTATGTGGCAGTCTTCGCGCCGCCCGGCATGGCCGCGGCGCATCTGGCGATCTTGTGCGCGGTGACGGCAGCGGTGATGGTGGCTGTTCCAGCACTGACGCTACTATCACAGCCGAAGGGGAACGAAGGCGGAGACAGAGAGCATGACGGCGCTGATGCCCTCGCGGCTGCTGCCTTTCAGTCGTCGCTCCGGCACATTGCGCTGGCGACGGTGGGATGCGTCCTGTGGGCGGCGTACGGCGCGATGGTCGGCGACTTTGTCCTTTGCTACCTCAACGCGCTCGGTGGCGTGCTCGGCTCGGGCCAGCTGGCAGTGACTGGCTGGCGGAAGTTTGTGATAGCACAGGCGGCAAGCGCCAAGGATGGAGGCGCCGACGGCAACGCGCGGGTCGGCGGCGTGGCAACTCGTGCCGAGACGAGCCAGGCCCGGACGCGGTCGCGGCACCGCGGGCGGATTCACGACGTGTGACGCGGGCGCGACATTGGATGATGAGCAGGCAACTACTGCTGCTCGCGCTCGGCACGCGGGACAGAGGTAAAGAGGCCCTCGTCGTAAAAGTAGGCCGACTTGACGCCGGTCGAGACGCCGATCTGGGTGGTGGACGACATGATGACGGCGCCAGGGTTGAGCTCGAGCCAGCGCTGCTCGATGGCAGAGCGCTCGGCGGCAATGAAGAGGCCACAGGCGTTGGCACGCATGATAAGGTCGTATTGGTCTTTGGTCTTGCGCTGGCGGGCGTTGATAGGCACGTCGGCGTACACATCCTCAAAGATAAACAGTGGCTCGGTGCGAGCGGCCACGTCGGCCGAGAGGATGGGGCGCTTTGTGCGTGGGCGGCCCGGCACGCGGTTTGTCCACTCGCCGTTCTCGTACATGCCCTCAGCCTCCATGTCATTGGGATCTCCAGCCGTCGAAGCAGTAGTCGAGGCAGCTGTGGCGCCTGCAGCGGCGCCCGGAACAGCAGCCCCACCGTCGCCTTCCGGGCGATCGTACTCAAAGCCTGGAATGACCGAGTCAAGCGGGGTCGAGTCCTTCTTGCCCTTCTTCTTGGTGGCGGCGGGTGCCTTGCGGGCCGGCTTGGCAGCCGGGGCTTTGCGCTTTCGTGCAGCGGTCTTGTTTGTCTTGCGCTTGCGCTTGGATGGCGGCATGAGAAAGTCCTCGTCCTCATCCTCGTCCACCAACTCATCCGAGCAAAAGTCGTCGTCTTCGGGCTCGTCCGACGGCACAAACTCGGAGCTAGCCGACGGCGACTCTGGCTGGTACGACGACGAGAGATCGTCCGACGATGACGCCCACTGCTTGGACTTCTTCTTCCGCTTCTTCTTCTTCTTCTTCTTCTTCTTCTTCTTCTTCTTCACCTCGATCGATGACAACGACGAAGACATCGACGACGACAGCAGCGACTCGTCGTCGTCTGAGAACGACATGGCGGTGGAGGGGTGGGGGTGGAAAGAGAGATAGAGATAGGTCTTTTGTGTGTGTGAGAGAGAGAGAGGGGTGTGCGTTGTTAGTGACGCGTGTGTCCGCGTGTGCGTGTGTGTCTGGAGCAGAGAGAGGTGGGGAAGGGGGGTAACGCTACGCTGGGGTTGTCACCCGCCCGTGATCGGAGCCCGGGTCACAGCGGACGGCGACTCGCCGAGCAAACCGAGGCGACTGGCCAGGCCAGGCCAGCAGCGGTGGATTCGTTGATTTGTTCGACAGCCGGAAGGGCAACGGTTTCGCCCCGGTTTTCGCCAGCAAAGAGGTTTGCGATGGCTAGCAGAGACGAGGGAGGCCAAGGCGTGCACAGGCTGCAGACTCCTCGTCACCGCTTCCTGCCGCCACTCCCTTTCTTGGACAAAGTGGCCTTGAGGTGGTTGTCATGAAGGGCACCCGGCTGAGAACCAACCCCAACACGTACTACAATGGTTTGGTGGCTGTCCGCCACGCCGTCCGGGCGCCGGCAAGCTACGAGCTGAAGGCCAGCCTCAAGTCGCGGCTGCTTGACGCGCCGGCTGTGGCGCCGCCAACACGGCGAGGCCTGTATCTTGATGAGACTGTGTCGTTGGGTGCAAAGGAGGGCATCGAGGAGAGTGAGGCGGCGGATTCCGGGCGAGCTGAGCAGAGCAGGGTCCTGCCGCCGCAGGTGGTGGTGGTCGAGCCGGACGAGCACGAGCTGGCCCCATTCGAAAAGGACACGGCCGCAGCGCTTATCGGCGACCCGCCGGTCTTTATGAAGTCGCGCAACACCATCGAGAGTGCTCGCTTTACTCGCAGGTCGCAGGCAGGGCGCGATGCGCTGCTGGAGAAGGAGCTCATGCGGTCGGCGCTCGCCCGGCGGCGGCAGGAGCCGGCAGATCTTGACGAGACGCTGACGCTCAACGAGGGTGGCGCGTTTGCGCCTGAGTCGTACGCGTCTATTGCGCCCAAGAACGGCGGCTCGCTCGGCGCCCGCCGCTTTGCCCAAGTCTCGCGCTCCAGCGGGCGTAAGCCGTACCCGACCCGCTACGAGCGCGCGTATCCCATCGCAGGCTACGCAGGCCACATTCCGACAACCAACGCACTGCTCGAGGCGGGTTACACCAACATGCTGCGGATTGACGGCAACCGCGACTTTGGCTACGGATCATGAGCCTAGCAGTGGGCAATAAAGCGGGCAGAATGTGTGGGAGTTTGCGGCTAGGCGGCGATGAGCCCGTGGTACACCGCCATCCAGTAAGGAAGCAGCCAGACGCCCGGGTCGGGCTCGGACATGCCGGAGCCCTGGTTGGCGATCTTGAACGGGTTCGAGTTCCAGCGGGAGAAGATCTGCTCGTCGTAGGGGATGAGGTTGACGGCCTGCGGCCCGCCGCCACGGGTGGCGACCGGCATGGGCACGAGGTCGATGCGCTGGGTGGTGTCGGTCGGCCAGGTGAGGATAGAGGTCGGCCACTGGCGCAGGGAGTCGCGAGCATCGGCAATGAGCGGCTCGTTGCTCGGCGCCGCTGCGCCGCCGTGGCCGACGGCGTACACGGTGTTCCACAGCGGCGACTTTTCGGTGGCGATGCGCGCAAACACTCCCTCCATGCCGAGCATCATCGACGACTTGAAAGCTGCGGTCGCCGAAGGCGCGAGCTGCATAGTGGCGAGCGGAGTAAAGTTGAGCTCGTCGTCGGAAAAGTTGTCATCCTTGGGCCACGTGATCTTGGTGTTGATGATGTTGACGTCATAGCCGTGCTTGGCAATGAGGTCCTCGAGAGCCTTGGTGTACTTGGCGTCGCCGGTGAGCTCGTAGGCAACCGAGAGGAAGCCCATGACCTGCAGCGAGTTGAGCCCGCGCTCGTCGCGCCACGAGTACTTGCCGTTGAGGTAGCGCGGCGACCAGACGCCCCAAGTGGTCCGGTTGCCGTAGTGGCCGAACAGCAGGTAGTCGTGCTCGATGAGCGTGTCCATGAGGTTGGTGACAAGGGCAACGACGCGCGCCTTTTCGGCCGCCGTCTTGGCCACACCCATGCGGAAAGTGACGGCTGCGCCGAAAAAGTGGCCGGTGATCTCATCTGACGACGTATCGCCCTTCCACTCGAGCTTGCCGGCGTACTCGGGGTTGGTCGAGTTCCACCAGAGGCCAGCGCCGCGGCCGGGAGTGCCAACCGGCCACACCGAGCGCGCCGGGTAGCCCTTGATGTTGGTCACGTTGTTGAGCAGCTCAAGGCCCTCAAAGTAGTGCCAGGCGAGCGCACGATCGGCCTCGGCTCCGGTCACCGCGTACTTGTACGAGAGGCCACCGAGGAGGAGGCCGGTCCACAGCCCGTTGTTGTCGTTGGGCATGTCGTACCAGGAATCAACCTGACCAAACTTGGCCAGCCCGCAGTCGCCGGCCAGCCCGTATCGATCGTGCCGCGAGAGCATGGCCTCATAGATCTTGACCTTGCTCGCAAGCGTTGTCGGCGTGAGTGAGAGAAGGGTGAGCCCAGTCTCGGTTGCCGCCACCACCACCCCTGAGCCCGAGATGGCAAGGGCAGAGATCGTCGAGCCGGCGATCCACCGCGGGCCAGAGTAGTACGACCACGTCCCGGACGTGATGTGCCGGATGACGATACCGTTGATGGTGCCCACAAACAGCTTGGTCTCGCCGGCAAACGCGCCTGAGCCATGCCAAACCGCAGCCGCAGTCATGTTGGCAAACGGCAGGCCGGCGAGCGCCGGGTTCCGTGCAATGCCATCAAACCTAAGAATCTGCAGGTTCGGCTGCATCACCGTCAGCGCGTCCTTGGCCGCCATCCACAGTGAGCCAGCCTTGGAGTCGAAAGCCAGCGCCGATGGCGAGGCGGCGATGAACCCGTGGCGGTAGACCCAGCGCCAGACGCCACCGTCGAGGTGGAACATCGCGCGGTGCGTCGAGACCGCAAGCACGTGCGTCGTCGGGTTGTACGCCAGCGCGCGCACAAGCTCCAGCTCGGGCGCATGATCCGGGAGTGCAGACGCCGGCACGCGCACAGGAGTCGCTCCAACCTCGCACTCGAGCGACCACAGGCCTTCAGCGTCGCCGATCCAAGCGCCACCGTCTGCGCCAACCACCACCGGGTTGGTCAAGTTGGTGAACGAACCCAAAAAGGTGATGCACTCGGCGGCGCCGCTCCGGTGGGAGTCAGCAGCGCGAACCACAACGTCGTCATCAGCAGAGCCAGCGAGAGCTGCAAAGAGGCTGGCCTCGGGGCAGAAAAAGCCGCCATCAGGGTTGACGACAAGAATCCATCCGCCGCCGCTGGCCATGCGGAGGCCAGGCTTGGTGGGTGGGAGGCCTGCCGGGAGCTCGACAGCCTTGGCCGGAGCCTCTGGCGACGCCGCGTTGACCAGATACAGGCCGCCAGCTGTGGCCGCCACCACCGCATCTGGAAGAGAGACAAGCGGAGCAAGCGAGACGACCGGTGTAGCAGCCGGAATCCCATTGACCGGCCACGCCGCAGCGTTGCTTGCCGACTTGTACACGGTCCGGGTGGAAAACGGCTGCAGGTACGGGCTGTCCTCCAGCGGGAAGGCTGCTCCGTCCACAGCCTGTGCCACTAGCACCAGCACCACCATCAGTGCCACGAGTTTTGGCATACCCTTCATGGCTGGTGTGAGAGAGAAGGGGTAGGCGAGGAAGGTGGGAGTGGCATGGCAGACGGCAGGTGAAAGTGGAGGGCAGCACGTGCAGCGAGCAAGCGGTCGATGGCCAGCCGGCCGGCTGGTCGTGGCGCGGCGGCGAGCGGTGACGGGTTGACCCGGGGGGGGGAGGGCGGGCGGGGAGGTGGGCAGGGCAAGGGAGGGGCCTACGACATACTTGGCAACACTGCACTTGGCAACTGAACGACATGCCGCTGTTCAACTACCCGCTGGGGCTTGGTGTCATCAAGAACAAGGGTATGTGACAGAGGGGGGGGGAGTCGTCGCAGCGGGTGGGGTGGGTGGGGGGTGGGTGGGTTGGTTTTTGGTCCGCTCGTCGGGAGTGGTGTGGAGGAAGGCGGGGAAGGGAAGGGGTTTGGATGAAGAGGTGGGAGGCAAGGGAGGATAAACGAGGAGCAGGGGACGAGGTGGTGGAGGGGGCTGGAGGGGGAAGGGAGGGGTGTATGGGGAGGGAAGGGCGAGGAGATAGTGGTAGACGGCGGAACCGAGGTGGGGCCTTGGATCATGGCACGCCCGCTTCGGAGGGAGGGATGAAGGAGCGCGACTCATATAGTATGGTGGATGGTTACATGCGTGCGATGGTGTGTGTGTGTGTACTGGTGCTTGTCTGGCTCTCTGTCTGTCGGGTTGTGGTTCGGGCTGTGGATGGGGGTGGGCTGTGTGGGCGTCCTTGGTTCTGAGGGAGTACAGCCATTGAGGAGTGGGCCCACTTCCGTGAGAACACACACAAGACGTTCAAGTTTACCAAGCGGACGTCGCTTTACGGCATTGTCTTCTGCATTGCTGTCCCTGCAGTCGTGCACTCGTTTGTCAAGGAGGAGGAGCTGAAGAAGACCGCCGTCGGCGTCACCAACCACTCCAAGTCCCAGGACTACCTCTAAGTGGTAACACACACACACACGCACTCGCGCACACACACACACACACACACACACATACACACACATACACACCGAAGGAATTGCAGCTACCCCTCAGCTTCGTCCTCTGACAATATAGAGGCGGCCAGGATCAGCAAGCCCTCTAACGTGCTTGCCATCGACTCCACGACCTTTTCCGGGCACACGCCGTTGATCACGGCGGCTCAGATCACACACACACACACACACACACACACACACCACTTCTGCCTGACCTTGCCTAGACTTGCTGCTTGTGACCTGGCTCAGGCATGACACTACGCCGAAAGCCGCGCGGGCGGACAGTGCCTCGTGTTGTAGGTCCAGGCTCTTTGCGTGCTCCAAGAACCGGCGACTTGCTCCGAGTCCATGCCCACCGCCCAGTTCAGACAGCGGCGGCGTCGGCCGGAGAAGCCACCGCCAGCGGCCGCAGCGATGGCAATGAGAGCCAAAGCGGCGGTCGTGGCGCAGCCAACAATCATGACAACGACGACGACGACGATGATGCGCTGGCTGCCATGCGAGCCGAGCTGAGGCAGTCCATAGAGGCTGCACACCGGCTCGACGAGGCAGCAGCCGAGGCAGCAGCCAAGCCTCTGCACTACGGCGCGCCCAGCAGCGGGCGGAAGAGAGCAGCGCCGGCGCTAGCTCGCCGGGCGTCCCGCATGATGAAGAAGCGCAAGTCGCTGGCAGGCAGCTCGCGACCAGGTGGGGTGGGCTTGGGCGTGGCACCCGGAGCAGAGTCCGGCGAAGGCGAGAGCGAGAGCGGGAGCAGCGACGAGGCGCCAGCGCTGGCGTCGGTAGCGCATCTGGTCCGCAGCCGGAGTGACGAGCATGAGCATCCTCGACTTGAGCGCGGAGATACCATTACGCTCGCGTCGGTGGTGCCGATGCCGCTGCCGCAGGGCGGGCGGGCAGCGGTGGGCGCGGGGCCGAGCCGGAGTCGAAGCAGACTGCTTGCATCGGCGCGGGCGGCGGCGGCAGCCAGCAGTGCTGGTCCATCGTCGCACTCGCAAGTACGCCGACGGCGTTCAACCGGAATGGCACCGCGGCGGCAGGAGCCGCGCCAACATGCTGTCGTCCGTCGGGCAACGCACATCGGGGCGCCAGCCGAAGACGATGATGATGACGACGATGACACGGCCGGCGGGCCTTCGCGGCGGCTGGACGCGTCGGTTGACGTCTCGCGCAACGGCATTGTGCAAGTCATGCTTGACGACGTCGAGTACGCGCTGGACGGGCTGGCCACTGTCTGCGGCTCAGCCAGCATGCAGATCGACGCGCTCCAGCATGTTCTGCGGACCCTTGACGATCCAGACCAGCGGCTGCTCCTCCGAGCGCATGGTATGCTCCCGCGAGTTCTTGAAGCCTTGGTGGCGCTTGCGCCGCAGAGCTCCGCCGCTGCGCTAGTGCGACTGCAGGTTGTCGACGCCCTTGTCGGCGACGGCCTCTCGCTCAACATGCTTGAGTCCCGGCCAGCAGCCGCCCTCCTCCTCGACGCTCTCCGCGAGTGGGCTGCTGCTGCAAAGCCGAGTGACAGCCTGCGCGAGCTCGCACTCCGCGCTGTGGCGCTGCTCAAGCTCGCAACGCAGCGGAACAAGGCGATGAAGACACTGCTGCGCGAGCTGGGCATTTTCGAGCTGCTAGCGACGGTGCTGGACGGGCTGGAGCTGGAGTCGCCGCTGCTTGTTCCGCTCTACGAGTTGCTCAATAACCTCACCCACGACGCACCTGTCAACGCAGCGTACGTGCTTGCTGGCGCGAGCCACGCGCAACAGACCGCGGCCCACGCGCAGCGGACCGAGCTGCTTGGCGCCCGCGAGTCTGTCCTCAACTCGGCGGTCCTCCTCATGCAGCTCGACGAGGAGCAGGCGGCGGCGGCGGCGGCGCGCAAGCCGGCCTACGTTGCGCCGGTGGAAGAGACGCTTGACAGCGCATCGCTGGCCGCGCTCCTGCTGCGCAAGCTCGAGTCGGCCCGTTGTGATGAGATGCTGCGCTCGGCTCGCGGCGCCACCGCCGTTTGCGGCGTCCTCAACATCCTTGTCAATGTCACAAACGAGAACGCTACCGGTGCAGCGCTGATCGGCTGCCGGCTGGGCGAGCTGGTGTGGATGATTGAGCCTGCCACGCTGCAGTCTGTGCTCCCCGCGAGCGGCATGACGTGCTCTGCCTTGTTCTTAGCCTCTTCATCAACTTGCTCGAGCGGTCGGGCCCGAACCGGCGAGTGGCCCGGCAGAGTGGCCTCCTGGCCCGAGCGCTGGATGTCTACCTCCGCACGCCGCCGTTTGACCTGGCGACGGGGCTGGCCGGCTCCGCCGCCGAGGCCGACGTCGTCCGCGCCTACGCTGGCCTCCTCATCGGGTGCGCCCTCCGCGACGAGCCCGCCAGCCTGGCTCAAGTCACTGCCGCCGTCCCTCTTGCACACATCATCGCCACCCTTGAGGCCTTTATCGCCTTTCAGGTCAACGTCGGCGTCCACACCTCGGAGGCGCACACCGCGTTCAACGAGGTCATTTCCATCCTGCGGTACTTTGACGCGTAGACGTCTCTGTGCTGAGACTACTCGAGGTCGGCAATACATCATAGCTCATGCTAGGCAGCGCGGCTGGTGTAGGCGTGCGCTTGATTGGGCCGCTCATCAGCGGCCCGGTGGCGGCGGTGACGGCGGCGGCAACAGGTGCGCCGCTCTGGCTCTCCCTGCCGCTCGGAGCTCTGCTGACCGCCACAGGTGCGTGTGCCGGCGTGAGCCTCGCCACCACCGAGGTCATCCGGTGGAAGCTGCTCTCGCCGGAGACTGGCTTGCTCGACCAGGCCACGGCCAAGGTGTGCACCTCGTTGCCGCCGGCGGTCCTGGCCTCGCTCAACTCGGCGGCCGACGAAGGGCTCGGCGGCCTCGACGGTCTCTCGCGACTGCTCAACGACAACGCGCTGGCTGGGCTCCCATTTTCGGCTCGGACCGCCATGCGACTCGCTCGCTGGCAGGTCGAGAATCTCGGCGGCGATCGCGTCGAGACTCTGCTCAAGCAGCTGGTCCGCGATCCCGATGCTGCCGAGCCAGGCATCGCTGGCCTCTCTCGCCTCCTCCGCCTCCTCGCCACAGACGCGACGTACAAGGCCGATCGTGTGACCGTTACGGTGGCAGGTAGCGTGGTGGTGGCCGCCTCGGCCGCCCTCGCGCTTGGAGGCCTCAGCATTGGTAGCCAGGACGACGAGCCCACAAGAACCTCCGCTCCCGGAATGGATGACGAGAGCAAGCGAGATGCCAGCATCAGTGTCATCGACTCGCTCCGTGGCTGGATCGAGCTTGGCCCATCCAAGCACGCGCCGGTGACCGAGTCCGAGCCCGAGCCCGAGCCTGAGCCTGAAGACTCGCCACCCATGTCGGCCGCGCAAAAGTATGTGTCGTCGATGCTAAGTTCGATGCGCCAACGAGTGGGCAGGAAAACCAACAGCTAGTCACATTCTGGCCGTCCCAGATCATCATCGGGGCGAGGTCTTGAGTGGCAGCTCACCAAAATAAACCACACGACTCGGCTCGACAGGCCTGCAGCGAGCTCGCGCTGCACATGCTCCACGTAGTCAAGCAGCTAGTCATCCCGATGGTCACGCTGCCGGTGCTTGGGGCAGCTGTGGTCGGCACGACAGCGGCGCCGCTGGTGCTTTGGCTCCCGTACGGCGCAGCCATGGTGGCGACAGCGACGGCGCGTGGGACAGGCCAGGCGATGATCGCCGGCTTGCAGAGAGTCCTGCTCGAGGAGAAGACCGGTGCGCTTGATGCCGCCATGACAAGAGTGTGCAAGGTCTTGCCGCCGAATGTCAAGGCATCGCTCCAGGCTGATGCTTCCAGCGGCCTGTTGGCCGCGGCGGTGAGCGTCCTGAGCGAGAGTAGCGTGGCAGGCGCCGCTGATCCGCTCCGCACTGTGAAGGATCTGGTCTATCAGCGGGTGGAGGACGCTTCTCGACACGACCTGGAAGATGCGCTGGAGCAGCTGATCCATGCAGAAATGCCCAGTGACTCTCAGCTGGGCCCCGAGCTTGCAGCTGTGATGGGTAGAGTGACCTTGTGCGACATTGCCCGCAGCCTCGGGCAGGTTGTCATCCGCATCACGCTGCAGCGCGCCGAGAGCCAGGTCACACGATGGACCACAAGCGTAGCAATGGGCACGTCGGCCGTGTTTATGCTCGCTGCGGCGCTGGTCAGCAGCCCCGACGAGCCGCCGCATCACGTGCGGTGGCAGGCGGCGCTGGCTCATGCCGGCGAGGCGTGAAAGGAGGTTCATCCTCGGATGACAAGCGCGAGGACAACCGCGAGAGCAATGACGAGCAGCCCGATAAAGCAGAGCGAGTACCCGTTCTTCGATGCCTGGTGCAGGCGCATGACACCGCGGGTCTCGCGCTGGACGTTGGACGAGACCCTTTCGACGTCCTCATCCAGGTCGTCCAGCATGCCTATCTGCAGGTCAAGCTCGTCGCCAATGGCAACACCGATGGTCTTCAGCCGCTGGGTTGTTTGCGCCAGGATGTCCAGCCCGCGATCTTGGTCCTGCATGGTCCGCTCCTGAAGCTCTAACAGCTGTCGCGCGTCCAGATCCACCGTCTCCTCGGTCTCGGGCGCCTCTCCCCACCGCCCTGCAGGCCGCCCGCCGCTCAGCCTTGCCGGTCCCCGCGCCGGTTCGCGCCCCACATTTTTCCCGCCTCCGCCCACAGCGCCCGCCCCGCCACCACTCGCAGCATGCCGCTCGAGCGACGCCTCCAGCTCGTCGACACGGATCCGCGCATTCGCCACCTGATCCCTCCGCCGCCTCAGTTCTTTGTCCGAGCTGTCGCCATCCGCCATCCGCATTCACACCCACCCACAAGCAATTGCATACACCAAGTTGATCCTTCCTGTGAGCCATGCACACCCCTCCACTACCGTCCATCTCGACTTGGCTCTTCGAGCCGTTGTTCGTTGTTCCATGCCAATGTGGCCGGGCCGGGTCGGTCCGCGGCCGCATCTCCCAGCACTCTCCCCCCCCCCTGCATCCCCCATACACACACGCCATCATTCTGTGGCTTTGCAACCTACATGTCACGTGTGATGTCGGCCAGCCCGTCGTCCAGCGCGTCAAGCGAGGCCTGGGCCTTGGCCACCCGCGACCGCAGCTCGGCGCCCGTCCGAGCACCGCCAGTCCCCTGCCGCCAGGCCCGGACATCAGCAGAGAGGCTGTTGAGCGTCTTGGTCACCACGCCAAAGTCGGAGACCCATTGCCGGTCTCCAAAGCCCGACATCTCGCTCGCTTACCCCTCCCCCGACGCAAAAGAGTCGTGTGTGTGTGGCGAGTCCGCGTTCGGTCGGTCGGGTCGGTCGGGGTGGCGGCGCTGGGCAGCCAGCCGGCAAGAGTTGCACATCCGCCGGTGGCAAAGCTAGTCGTCCAACAAGTGAACCTGCCAAAGACGCAGGAGCAAGGCTGGCAACAGGCGGCGTATCAGCCTTGCTGGAGTCACCTTCCTGCTTTGCTCCACCGGTTCCGGGAGGGGGGAGGGGGGGGGGGGGGGGCTCTAAGGCAGATTGGTGGTAGGCAGCAGGCAGCGCTGTCGTGCTTGGGAGGACCTCGGCGGAAGTGGCCAGCTCGTACGGTTGCAACACCACGCAGAAGAACAGAAGAGCCGTGACGCACAAAAAAAAATGGATTGCTAGCCTGGACAAGGAGGCACACCCATGTGCCACACACAGGGGAGAGAAGGAAAAGCAAAGAACAGGCGGTGAGGGACATGGCACGTCGGTGGATATCTAGAACGGTAACTTGCCTACATGCCCTCCATCACGTCCAAGCGCTTCATCCGCACAGCCGCAGCAAGGGAGCAACCTCTCTCTACCGCTCCGGTTTGTTCGCCGAGTGCGGCAAGGGTGCTCTGCCTACGCGTGCGAGACCTCATCACGTGCATTTTACCCACGGTCACCATTCCACTCCCGCACACCGCAGGCATCATCGTCATTGCCGCAAACACAACTTGGACCTCCGGAAAGGGCAGACATCCAAGCATGGTGGGGGGACATGCGAAGGCTACTCGATCGGCTCGCTCGCGCTGCCGGTACCTGCCATCTATGGCTACACTCTTTGCCGCCATCGTCATGTTCTCCTGTACCGTTCCCCGGGGAACGTCTCAGTTGTTGCCACCGGTCTGCTCGGTCGCCGCCCCCGAGGCTGGGGCGTCGCTGCCGGGCTCGAGCCCAGCTTTTGGAGCCGTGTTTCATGTTGCCACTTCTGATGCCTACCAAATGGCCTCGGTCTGTGGTCTCGCCATGGCCTTTGCTACTCTTCCCGGCCCCTCGGCCACGTTTGCTTTTTACCGCTCGACGAGTGCCACCGCCAACCTTGCATCGATGACCAAGGCCTCGCCAGACTATGCGGCGACCGCCACACCTATTCCTGGCCGACCGGGTGTGTTCCATCTCGGCGACACCACCCTCCGCTTCCCGATCGATCCTGGTGGCTACTACGCGGTAGTGGTGGCCAGCGCCGGCGCTGATGGCCGCATCTCGGCGCCAACCTCGCTCCCGATCAATCCAGCTAACTGCTCCTCGGCCATCAGCATGGTCAAGACAGTGTGGATGACCTCGGGTTCGACCGCACCAACCTCGCTCGCTGCCGCCAGCGAAGATCTGACCGTTCTTCCAGGGAGCATGGAACTGCAGCTGTGTCCGTCGTGCCTGCCAGCGCCTACCGCGCCCTCCGACGGCTCGGTCTCGATTCCATCGGGTGTGATGAACCGCGGTGTGCTGGACGAGACCGCAAGCTACGCGTGCGGACCGCTGTACACGCTATAGGGGCACCGCATCGGACATGTACTATGAGTGGATACGTTCCTGCAGCCGAGCCGCGATGTGAGCCTGTGGCGGCACCTGCTCCGTCACCGCCTCCGTACATCGGCTGCTTGGCCAGCGACGCCGATGCCTGTGGCGTGTGCTACGGCAACAACATGACGTGTGTCGGATGCGATGGCGTGCCCAACTCGGGCGCTGAGCTCGATAGCTGCGGTGAGTGCCGCGGTGATGGCTCCAGCTGCGGCGCGAAAACGGCGGGCGCATCGGCCTCAGGGCTCCCGACTGCTGCGCTGGCCGCCATCATCACCACCGCCTCGCTCATGTGCTGCCTCCTTACTGGAACCTTCCTCTACATGTTCTCCCGCATTATGGTCAGACCGGGACGGACAGGCATCTTGCCTTCTGGCAGGGACCTTGGCCTGCGGTCCGACCCACACATGTCGTGGGCCTCGGGAGTCATGCCGCCAATCGGCACTGTGGCTATTTTGGTGGCCGATATCGCCAGCGCCGGCCTGCTCTTCGAGCGACTTGCCGAGCCGATGCGCGAGGCTCTTGCCATCTACAACAAGCTCTTTGCTGAGCTTGCTGAAGACCATGACGGATACATCTCGTTTGGTGAGGGTGGCTTCATGATTACCGCCTTTCATACTGCTGAAGGCGCCATCTCCTTTGCCCGCCGCTTTCAGGCTGAACTCATGGGCCAGGACTGGCCTATCGAGCTGCTCAACTCGAGCTACACACCCACGATCGACGGGGTGTACCGTGGCCTTCGGGTCCGCATGGGTATCACCATTGGCAAGCCGTTCCGCATGGTTCCGTCAGGCAAGACTCGATACGAATACGACGGCACACCCGTCTGTGACGCTCGCATCCTCTGCGCTGCCGCTGCCGGCGGGCAGGTCGTGGCCGATGCAGCGGTAGCTGCCGCCACAAGCGACGCAGGTCTTCCGTGCCGCCGCCTCGGCACCTACGTGCAGCCTGCAGTTGAGCCGTCAGAGCCTGTCCGCTGCATGCTTTTCGAAGTCAAGCTGCCCGGCAGTCTGGCTGAGTCGCGCAACTGCGGTGCCAGGCTCCGCGGACTCACCATGATCGGCAAGTCAATCTACACTCCGCGCTCGCCTCTGGCAAGCGGCTCGGGCATCATCCGGTCGTCGTCAAGCATGGCGTTCTCGCACCTTACTCTCGAAGTCACCGATCCGCTCTTCTCGTCGGGTGGTCAACCGTCCGAGCTCTCGCCGCACTCGCCGCATTCGCCACTCACCCCTCCGCAGCGGCAGATCCTGATGAACCGGTCGCGGACGCCGCGCCCCAGTCGAGTTGCGACTCCGCGCTCGCCTGCCACGCCCAAGCAGCACTCGGCCGATGACGTCGAGAACATGACCCCGCGCTCGCTTTCGCGTAGCTTCAGTCAGATGGCTCAGTATCGTGCCAATGCTGCGGCGTCGATCGGCTCCCTCATCGCTGACGGCGTTATCGATCTCGACGAAAACGCCGAGACCGATGGCATTCCCGACTGCGACAGCAGCATTGCCCCAGGCACTGTGTACTCGTCGATGGCAGGCATATCGGCATCACGGCGACAGCCGAGTCTGCACTCATCGGGTATGCACTCATCGGCGTCATCGGTGAGCTCGCGGCTTTCCGAGTCGTCGACCGGGAGCACCGTCGTCGACAACACCCAACCGGCGTCAACGCGAAGCTCGTTGCTCTCATTTGAGCGCAAGCGCGTCTTATCCCGGGCCGTCGACGACGCGCCTTGCCCAACTGCCGGCCGGCCGCGATCAACCTCGATCTTTTCGTCGTCGTCGTCAGGCGTCGGGCCCGCACTCCGTGCCACAGGACCCCTGCCCCGGCATGTCGGTGTCGACACGAGTCCGCGCCGCTCCCGCCGCCGCATCGCCCCGCCAAAGGCGCGAACCCGCCGCCGTTTCTCGCAGGTCTCGGATGTCTCGCCGTGGCGGCAGACACCAAACGGCAAGCCACCGCGCAACCCTTCGCCGCAAACATCGGCCGGTCGCATTCCACGCATCACCGTTCAGGCCGTGCGCAACAGCAGACGCGGCTCGAGCTCGCAGACGAGGGTGGCAAGCAACCCAGAGCTTGAGAGTCCCAAGATCACAGTCTATCAGCCGCCCGGGGCGGTATCATCCAGTGACCTATGGGTCTTCGATAGCCCCGTCTGAGTTTGAGCGCTTTGGTCATGTCGATGTCTGTAGCAGCTCATGCTGAAGCGTGGCGTTGAGTACGTGGAGCTCGTGCTTATCGCGCTGGAGCTGTTCCAGCTGGCGCTCGAGCTGTAGCACTTGATCGTCGGCGTCGCGCGCAGCCTGGACATCACGCTGATAAACAATGTCACGAGCCCGCGCACGGGTCGCTGCATCTTGGCTTGCCTCAGCGCTCAACACCGACGACGCCGCCTTGGCAGCACTTCCGAGAGCAACCGAGTCGGCGAGCGAGCGCGCAACCGGATGCGCACCGCGGGCCGACGACGTAAACTCGAGTCGCCGTGCCGCAGCCTCGGCATCCAGCGCCTCGTTGACGCCGATTGCCGCCGATGCGTCCACCGATCGCCGCAGCGACGATGGCGAGAGTGGGCGGTCGGCAAGTGGTGTAAGCGCCAGTCGCGGGAACGGCAGGTCGTGGACCCGCGACGGCGGCGGGAACCGCGACTGCACATACGACGACGAGCCGCCACGCGACGACGACAGCACCTTGGCGGCTGTCCGCATAGCGTCGGGCAAGCCACGATAAGGCGACAATGTGCGCTCCGGATCAACCGCGTCGTTGGCAGATAAAAGGTATTTGGACGGCGTCGGCGCCGACATGCGCGGAACCCGAGTGGCGGCACACGGCCGAGGCGACTGAGCTGTCTGCTGCGAGGCAGGAGTCGGACCTTGCGGCGAGACCGAGGCCACAAACGTGGTCGACGCCACTGCACCCGATGGCGGTACATCGCCCGAGTACGACGAGAGGAGCGACTGCGACTTGTCGATAACCGAGCGCGTTGCTTGCGACCGGGTCAGGACCCGCTCCGTCGGCGGATATGCGCCACCGTCAGTCGACGTCGCCACGGAGGTCTTCCACTTGGACTCCGGCTCGGTTTGGATGGCTTTGGAGACCATAGACCGGACCGGTCGGCCAAAGGCGTGGCCGGACAACGCGTCGCCGCGGGCAACCTCGGCCGGGGTCGGCTGGCTCTCGCCGGCATGGCCGGCATACACCCGGTTGAGGACTGACTGCGAGGCAACAACGGTGGCTTGCGCCGCATCCACTCGCGAGGAGAGAGACTTCATGATCGGTGAAGCAACTGTCGACGGGCGGTCCCGGACTCGGGGAACGGACATGACCACGTCGATCTCACCAAACGGCGTCCGCCACACGTCGCCAGCTGGCGGATCCAGGGCATACCGCGATCGCTGGGCAGATGGTGCCGACGACAGTCGCGCCAACGACAAGTACGACGAGCCAACTGTCGGGCGATGCGCCGCGCCCGGGAGCTCGGCCAGCGGCGTGGCCGCTAGCGTCCGCGATGGCGGCGCGCGAGTAGCTACGCCCGGTGGGTTGTAGCCTTCACCACGCAGGTAAACATGCTGCTGAGGAGCATGACTCACACCTTCTGCCTCTACCTGTCGTCCATAGCCACCAGGACGTGCCTGCGAGCCATAGCGCGGCTGAGCCTGGTTCGGTTCGCCAGCCCATGGTCCGTCGGCCGCCGCGCCAAGCGGCCGTTGCGGCGCATGGCGAGCAAGGACCTCGCGCGAACGCGCTATCCACGCCCGTGCCTCTTCAATGTCACTGGACGCCGCCATGTAGTACAGGGTGAGGGAAGTAGGGGGGAAAGGGGTGTGGGGTGTGTGTGTGTGGGGGGGGTGGGGGGGGGG